GAGCCGCTGGGGCGGGGCCGGGACCTGCCACATGGTGGGGGAGCTGCTCTGGTGGCCAGGGCTGCCACGTGGCAGGGGGACTGGGGCCTGTTCTGGCAGCTGGGGCTGGGAACAGAACCTGCTGCATTGGAGGGAGGTGGGGAGGGCAGGGTCTGCTCCAGCACCCAGGAACGGGCCCTGCCACTTGCTAGGGAGGGTGGGCTCTGGGTGCCATGGTGGCGCATCCAGACCAGCACCCACAGCCTCAGTACTGGGGCACAAGCCAAAACTCACTGCGCTCATGGCTGGGAAATCCTAGGACACCGCCCACTGGCCCTGCCTCACAGGTTGTCTGGGCCCTATAGGAACTCCAAGGACCGACCGAGGATCTGTACAGCCAGTTGGACTCTCCCAGTGCCGGTTCCCGCAGTGCTCTGCCGCTCCCCCAGCTGCCAGGAACCCCTCAGCACGGCCAGGACCTTAAACCCAAAGAGGGAACATCGCTCAGTGAGGCTGCACTGCCAGCTGGGGTCAACGGGCCGTAGCTCCATTGGAGTCAATGGGGCTGAGCTGGGGTCTTGTCGTGTGGTTCGGCTTTTGGATACAAGAGGAACCAATAAAAACACCTCCAATAAATTCTTGTTAACTTTATGATGCACAGAATAGTAAAGGAAAGCAATGCAAAGTACACGAGATAGCACCTTCACCTAGGACGGTACACAAGATGCTTGATTTTAAGGATAGGGATATACATGTATTTATTTCTGTAAATCACACACAGTTTCACTGCTAAGACCTTATGATTGTCCGATGATTGTCAGACAGGAGGTCGTGGCCCCGTTGTTTCCCCACGTGCAGAGGTGTCCACAACACATCAGTTGGTAGGAACAGGCACATCTTTTAGTTGCAGGGAGTAAGGTCGCGGGGACTCCTTACCCAATCCCTCCCGCCGATTATCTTTTCTACTCCTGCTTTTATAGCCATAGCAAGACTTGGTCATTCTAGTAAAATCTACCAGTTAATTATGTATGCGTATGCCCCTCTTTGGACACATCCTGCTAGTCAAACTCTACTTAATTGATCGTTCTACGGCTGCATCGGTGATTTTTGCTGATTAGAATTGTTCTGTACCAGTACTGGCTTACTCCCAGGCAGCATCTTGACCGGCATGATTTTGCGGAAATACTTTTAACAGAAAAGTTTTTCCGTTAAAGTATTTCCGCAAAAGAGTGTTTGGGGGAAAAGCCACCCGTGGCCAGTCTAGATGCGATTTTGCGCAAGAAAGCTCCGGCGGCCATTTTTGCCATTGGAGCTTTCTTACGCAAAAAATTCCTTCCCTGTCTACACTGGCCCTCTTGTGCAAGTATTCTTGCACAAGAGGGCTTATCCCTGAGCGGGAGCATCATAGTATTTGCACAAGCACTGATTTTGTACAGTACAAAGTCAGTGCTCTTGCGCAAATTTAAGCGGCCAGTGTAGACAGCTGGTAAGTTTTTGTGCAAAAGTGGCCACTTTTGCGCAAAATCTTGCCAGTCTAGACACACCCCCAGTGCTCTTGGCGTAGGTTCACTAGACCAATACTCTCTATGCACTATTGTTGAAAGCAGGGGTGGCCAACCTGCAGCTCATGAGCCGCATGCAGCTCTTCCCCCCCAAAAGTGTGGCTCATGAAGCTACTCCTGCACCTTCCCCTGACCCCCACCCCCAGCTCCCCTGTGCTCACCAGGGTGGATTAAAAATATCACCCAGGATGGTGGCCATTGATGGAAGCCTGATATGGCCAAAAAGCCTAAGCTGGTTTCCTTGCTTGACAATTCTGGTGCGGTTCTTCGCATTTTTTTCACCTCTGTTTTGTCTCTGTTAACTGGGTTGGCCACCCGGGTTTAAAGCACTCCTGACTCTCAAAGCTCTCCCCTCCTTGGCCTGGCCTACGTAACACTAGGCTTGGATCAGGCCTGGCTTGCTTTGTTAGAAGCTGCACGTTGGTCAAGGCAGCCATCGTTAGTCCGGTCAGCGCAGGGCTGGACAACACAGACATTCTTATACAAGTCCAGTGTGAGTGTGGGGACTGGGGCCAGATGGGAAGACAAGGTCTGTGGAACTGCCCGAGACTAGATACCCAAACTGAGTGCGAGCGCTGGGTATTTTTTTTTCTAAAAGCCCTTTATACAAAGCAGTGGCAGTTCCTAGCCCAAACACTTGTGCGCATTTGGCCCTAGGGGTGCGCGTGATCACGGGGAGCTCAGCCAGGCTCAGTTTGAATTGTCCCTCTGCCTGTTAGAACAGTCCACATCAGCGACAGGGGCCAGCAAGATCCCTGGGGTGCAGGGTCCCCTTGCCAGAGACACAGTGTAGAAGAGGGTGTTAAGAGCAGCGATCACCCCACCCCCCCAACATGAGCTGTAGAAGAGGGTGTTAAGAGCAGCGATCACACCACACCCCCAGCATGTGCTGTCTGCCCCCATGGGCAGTAGTAGGGATGAGTGGTTAGAGCAAGGGACTGGCAGCCAGGACTTCTGGGTTCTCTCTCCGGATCTCGGAAGAGATGGGGGCCCAGTGGGGGAGGGCTCAGAGCCAGGACTCCTGGGTTCCATCCCTGGGGAGAAGTGAAGTCTCTTTGTTAAAGCAGGAGGGGAAGGGGAGCCAGGACTCCTGGCTTCTACCGTGGTTTGGGAAGGGAGTGGAGTCTAGTGGTTAGAGCAGGACTCCTGGGTTTCTACCCTGGCTTGGGGAGGGGAGTGGGGTAGGACTGAGAATCAGGTCTGCAGTGTTCTATTCCCCGTGCTGGGAGGGGAGACTAGTGGTTAGTACGGGGGGCTTTGTCCTGCTCCTATCACACTGTGCTTCACTCCCCAGTTCCGTGGAGGGGTGTCTGTGGTGCGGTGCTGTAAACACCCCATCCAGCTTTCCTGATCCTGCTGCTGCAGGAGACCTGCTGATGCCACGGCTGGGCTGGGCCAGGCACAGAGAGGGGCCAATAGACTGAATCGGGGGCAGCCCTGTGAGGGGGGCTCAGATCTGCCTGTGAAACCAGGGCCCCCAGTTTCTTGCTTCCTCATCTCACTCCCCTGAAGCCAGGGGCTGAATTTAGAATGCAGCGGATTCCCCCTCTGGCCATATTTCCCGGGGGTGGACAGGGTGACAGCCACCGGGGCAAACCCCAGCCCAAGGGTCCACGCTGTCCTGGGAACAGCCCCAGCCCAGCGGGGCCAAGGGACCTGTTGCTCAGCCACTCGCTGTGACCCTTTCTGTGCCCACGTGGGCCAGAGACGCTGGGCCAGAGACGGGCCCCTCTGTATGGACAGGGCTGAGGCTCCAGGTGGGCTGGTCTGGTCCACCCAGCCCCTCTGCCCGGGCACCCTCGCTTCCTACAGGCTGTGCCCTTGGCCAGTCACACGTCTGGACTGGGCTATCCTGAGCAATTAGTGACCTTCCTATTGCGCTGGGGCACAGCGCCCCCTATGCCAGGCTTGTGTACCTGGGCCAGCCCTTCCTACCAGGGAAGGGCCCCCAGCCCCCTGCAACACAGCACCCCTATGCCTTGCTGAGGCATTGGGGCCCAATCAATAGACCTCTGCTCCTGGAGAGATGCAATCTTTCCCAGGCACTTTGGGATGGTGTGCTGCAGGGGGAAGGGTGGGATCACTAGGGGGCATTGCAGGCTGGGTGGGGTGCAGGTACGGTGGAGGCACCAGGGGGCACTGGACTGCAGGAGCAGGGTGGAGGCACCAGGGGGCACTGGACTGCAGGAGCAGGGTGGAGGCACCAGGGGGCACTGGACTGCAGGAGCAGGGTGGAGGCACCAGGGGGCACTGGACTGCAGGAGCAGGGTGGAGGCACCAGGGGGCACTGGACTGCAGGAGCAGGGTGGAGGCACCAGGGGGCACTGGACTGCAGGAGCAGGCTGGAGGCATGAATAACTGGAGTGAGAATGGACAGCAGCTGCACCAGGAACCGGAGCACAGGCTGAAGGTGAAGCCAAGGGGGACGGGCATTCGGGTTCCTATCTCTGCCAGGCTGCCAATGAAATACGCACGGTCCCATCCCCAGCGCTGCAGATACAAGTCCAGTGTGAGTGTGGGGACTGGGGCCAGATGGGAAGACAAGGTCTGTGGAACGGCCCGAGACTAGATACCCAAACTGAGTGCAGGGAGGGCGGTGGTATCATTTTTTCAAGTGGAGCATTAGTCTAGCTCCTAGACACTTGTAATGTTGTCTTCAATGTCTGTCTTTTCCATTGTGTGGCGCCTTAGTTATTTCACCTCCTCTGATGTTAAAGGAAAAACTCCATTATCACTTAGCAGTACAGGGCCTTTGACACATTGGGAAGTACCAATTCTAGGTAGCAGAAGCAATGTGCTGACTCACTCACACCGAAGAGGACTGACCCAGGCTAAATCTATACTGCAGAGTTTTTGCACAAAAACTCGCGGCGCGCCCACACCTCAAGCACGTTTTTGCGCAAGACAATTTACAGTGAATCGACAGAACAGAGGGTTTTTTGTGGTAGAGGTATTCTTCTTTTTGCGCAAGAGTTATTGTCCAAAACAGTGTGTGTGGATGGGCAATGGGGGGTTTCACACAAAAACAGCCTATCGAAATAAGCACAAGAAGGTGCCCTGGTGGCCATTCTGTGCAGAGCAATGAGAGCTTTCTTGCGAGAGAGTGTTCATGCAGACTGGATGCTCTCTTGAGCAAAAGCACATTGCTTTTCCGATGCACTTTTGCAGCATGGACGTGCTCTTGCACAAGAAGTTTTTGTGGAAGATCAAAAAGCTTCTTGCACAAGAAGCCTGCGGTGTAGACGCAGCCCTGTTCTCTCTTGCAGGGGGCAGTGGTAAGGGTTCAACGCATCCAGCAGGGCGCAGCAGGGGACACACACACACACACACACACACACCCCGTGAGGTCACTGTTGAGGTGAAATGTCCCAGATTTTGCTTAAGAAAAAGCTACAAACCAAAAAGCTCCTCCCGCCCCCAGTTTTGGGCAGTTTTGCACAGAAGGGTAATTCATTTCACTGGACAATTGGTTTGGTTTGGTTTGGGTTTGGGTTGTGGGGTGAGGAGGGGGTGAGTCACTGGAAATCCAAACATCAGGCCCCAAAGTATATTCAGGGGCTTGAACTTTTTCTGAGCCCAGAAAATGCTTCCTCCTCCCACCCCTTCCCCACCTTTGTGCAGTTTTCCTTGAATATGCAAATGATTCCGATGTGACTTTCCAAAACTTCGCGAGAGAAATCATGCCCAAATCAGGCAGGGCTGACACTGCCTGTTTCCCTGCTGTACCTCTAGGATCTATTCCCTCCATCTGGAGGGGCATTGGTGGGAGAGTGGGACCTGGTATGTGCCTGGGCATCCAGGGGTCTGTGCCCGGGTGGGGGTGCTCTCCCCCTCCTGCCTCAGAGAGCCGATTGGTGGGCTGCAGGGCCTCAGAGCAGACGGGCTACGAATGAATTCCCCTTAGGGGTGAGCAACGGGCTCAGGCTGTCTGCAGACTCAGGCGTGTTGCTGTGCTGGTCACACTCAGGGCAGCTGGCTCCTCTCCCAGCAACAGGCTTCTATTGTGGGCTGGAGCCTGTTTTCAGTGCAATGTTAAGAAACTTGCCTCTCATTTGA